AGGATTAGACCATGCACTTCTGATTTTTCATCAGTTATCAGCTCATTTCCTGTCATATGCAATTGCAGCAGTCCACCCCTGACTTTTGCCAGAGCGCTCCTACAGCCCACGCACCCGTTGTGCAATCCAGGATTTTCAAACCTGAAGCAATGACGGGAAATCTGAAACCATGGAGAAGCCAGCACTCAGCCTGAACGCCTGAGAAAAAGGAAGCATGGTGACAACAGCTTTGAGTTTGAACAGGAGTGTGTGAGTGTGATTGCAACAACGAAGTGAGCTGTTTGGGTCGGGGATCCACCTGCAGGCACGGGCTGCAACCAGGCTTTCCGATCCCATCGTTTATAACCCACCCGCCCGCCCGCGGGAGTAAGTGGGGATTCTCCTGAAGGGTCTTCATCCAGCACAGACAGCACAGATGAGGACATCCCTGGTAGCACATGAAGATGCAAGGCTCCATGGCTTTGCAATTTGAGACCTACAGGTCTCCATATTCACCCCGTTTCGCCATCCATCGGAAAAACCCGGTTGATTGCTGTGGGCCAGGCATGTTCACGCAGTTGTTAGCAAGTAAAACATTCAGCAACTGCAAGGGTATAGCCAGTTGTGAAGTCTTGCCCAGAAGCATTGGTCTGAACGCTCCTTGTACATGTTCTGTGCCGTCCTTTGCATTCAGCTGGCCCGGCAAGCATGTGTGCTAAGTATGCGCCATCTTGTGTAAGCTAGGTCTGCTTAGATCCTAAGCTTCAAAGCCGTTCAACCTGCTTAAGTGTGTTTCTCTTTGGCACTTTCTCTGATGATTTTGGCTTCTTGGAATTCTGCCTGGAGGCTTCGGTCGAAGGGGAAGTGCGTGAGCTCCACAAACGCCGTGCCACTCCCTTTGAATCCCTTGTGCGACGCCGCGCCATGCTGCTGTGTCTTGGGTTTTGCCAGCGTTGTCCTAGGTTTTGCAGCAAAGTCAAGATCAGGAGCACCAGGACATTTTTGCACGCATTGGTAGGTAAATTGCCGCTGTAGCGAAGGCTCTCGCGCTACTGGATGGGGCCATCCCTACTTGATGAAGTTGGAGCCTGAATGCAGGAGTACAAGGCGTCCCTGGATGCCGAATGTGCCGGGACCCCATCACACAGCACTGCAGGACCCAGCAAGAATCTGGTGCTCCATTTGCTGACTGCTGCGAGGCATGGTTGCTCAACAACTGGAGTGAGAGAGTGGCCGCCAGAGAGCGTGAGGTCCAGGCATGTGCGCACCGTGAACCCTTGTATGGAGAAGATCGACACATGCCACCTGTTGCTCTTCGCCTGTGAAGGCTTTGGAGGATGCCAAGTCTTCCATTCAAAATATCCAGGACTGCATCACAGCCAGTGCAGCAGCGAGTGAGCAGCACAGCCAACTGCCTCTCAGCACTGTGTTAAAAGCAGAGCTTGGAGTGCCAACGTTCCGAGCAGATAGCCTGTGACTGTGTCAGCACTGGTGCGCCATTTGCAGGAGAGCAGAAGCCGCACTCCAGCTGGCAGCCTGCGCGGTTCTGGAGCATTGCTGTCAATGCTGGGTTAGGGAAACATGCCCCTAAAATCCCGAGCTCCTTTCCGATGCAGACGAGATCAAAAGCGTGCCGAATGTCTGTCTGATTTTTTCTCCCTTTGTTTTTATGTTTGGGTTGTGCTTCAAAGCGCCGGAGCTTGAGGCTGGATGCAGCTGTCGTGGGTTCTGAAGAAGCTGTCGGCCTCCGAGACCACACACTCCTTACTGTCTGTATGAAAACGACCTCCAAGGTCAATGGTTGATGTTACATGCATGGGCGTCCTGATCGTGACAATGTGCATGGCAATGTACAGGCTCCTTTCAGCTGCAGTTTTGTGGCTCAGCCTACGCAGAAGCAGTTTTGCCTGAAGGCAGTATGTGATTGTCGACATGGGCTTTGGACAGTGGCTTTTGGTGACTTCCGAGGTGCCAAATTGCCAGAGCTCTCTGACAGTATCATAAAGTCACTTGTTGGCACAAGGTGGTCCACTACATCACCTACTACACTGTGAAAGGCCGCTGTGATTTTCTTCCGATGCCGCTTATGCAAGGAGTCTAATCCACTTGTCGTGACACTAGGCTTTACAGAAGTCCATGAAAAGCTCGATCTGGGGAACCCGATGCAGGGAGATGAGGAAGAGGTTCTGGATCTGAGGGCAGAGGTAGACGGGCAGAGTAAGTTAGCCCTTCAGGAGGAGACAGACCTGTCCTCCAGCGCCAGCACCAGTGTGGAGGAGGATGGTCTTTGCCGGGCGATATGATACTACATGCAAGTTTGTTGCATGCAATTCACTTGTCGCCTGGAATCTGTCTTCGTCATGCAGTGCTCTGTTGTGTCATCTCCTGAGAGCATGAAAGCTTGAAATCACTTCAGGATCATGCCTGGCTCTGAGTGGATCTGCATTTCATATTTTTGACGTGTTTGCGGCTTCAACCTGATTTGCCGCAAGTTCTTTCCAGTGCTTGCCGCAGCAGCTCCCTTAAGAGGACCTGCTAGGGCCAAAGTGTTACTGCTACTGCTGGTGACGTCATGCACGATCCGAAAAAGGCCGATATGCAGCTATGTGCAGCTTTTTAAGCTATGGCTTTGTGCTTCGCAGAATGGCTGCCTGAGACCCTGCAATGCTCAAGACAGGGACGGGGAGCCCCATCATGGCTAGCAAAGCAGAGCCACTGGCATGCAAGGAAACAGGGCGACCAGCCCATCCAAATCCTTGGAAGCACGCCAGCTTGCCGACTGGGTGGAGAAATTAGACCTGGAGAATCAGGTGCTCCGGGAGTGCATCTCCCGCTGTGCTGACACGCTGCTCAGCGACCCAGCGGCAGAAGACCGAAATTCAGCGGCCGTGCGGAGGAAAGGACTGGCTGTCCTGCTGGAGAGTGGCCAGGCTGGCCCGGATACTTCCAAAGCTCGACTTTATGCCAAACAGCTGTTGCAGAGCCAAGTCCTGAAGTCAAGCCATGGGCCTTCGAGCACAGGTCGTGCCGCAGCTTTACCGGCTGCGGAGCTTGAGCGGGAGCTCGAGCGGTCCAGTCTCGCGCTTGATGAGCAGCTGCGCCAGCAGAAGTCCCGGCTGGCCTCCTTGGACGTTGAAGTCGATGCACTACAGCATGACCTGGCGGCGACACAAGAGAGGCAGCAGACTTTGGAGAACGCAGCGCTGGAAGAAAGGCTACGCCACGACGCTCTGTCTCTTGGCAGTTCTGATGCACTGCAATTTATCCTTTGATTTTCTCCGGTTGAACCAGTAAAGTGGGCAAGCTTTCTAAGCAGCCTAATGCCAATTCCAGGATCGCGTCCGAAATGCATCAGATGCAGCTGGAGCTCTTTCAGATCGATCAGGAAACCGCTGTGCTTGAACCGAAGTTATTGCAGATGGAGCGACATGGGCAGGCTGTGAAAGTCTTGGGGCACATGCTAAAGTTTATGGCGATCGGCTTGGCACGCGAAATCCTGTGGCGCTGGCGGTGCTTACTATCACCTTGAGGCCGGGTGTGTTGGCTTCCAACCTAGCTTGGATTAAGAACTCCAAAATCGGCGCGACGCAGAGCCATGTTGCAGTTGTGCAGCCTCTCAAGCCGCATTTGAACGTCACGCCCTCGATGGTCAACGACACATCGAACTTGTTGAAACTGGTACCCCAGTGCGAGCCGCAGCATAGCAAAGAGGAAAGTTTTTGTTCTGGGTCCTACCATTGGACCATGCGAGCTCACTGCTCAGCTGATGCTCCTGAATCAGCATGTGTCTAAGATGGTTTTTGCATGACGTGCATGGATGTGCATGTCAGGGCGGTTTGGGCTTTGTTGTCACGAAAACGCCACAGAATGGGTTAGTTTACCTTTGCATGCCCTGAAGCTCCGGCACGCCCAAAAACGAGAAGAGTTCCCCTCCATGTCATGCCGCATAATGCCGATGCGTGTCTGTTGTTGGGGACTTGTCATAGTCCGGTCCGCCAGGCCATCGTGCATGCGGAAGTCTCCGAACCTCCCGACCATGGCGAGGTCCCTGTAGGTTAGCGGTTTTGGCGTCTTGGTGTATTAAGGCAGTCTGTGATATCTCGTTTTGCCAGCATGATTCTACTTGTAATTGCCTCCACCAGTATGTTTCTTTTCTCCCGTCTTGCCCCGTTCAGGCCACCAGCGGCACACCAAAGATGCCGAAGCGTTTGCCAGCCACAAGCGCTTTGAAGTCTTAAAACTGCTCAGCTGCTGCGAGCATTTGGTGGTTAGATTTCACGTCAATCAAGAGTACTGTGCCTACGGATTAAGCATGTCCGCCAAAAGTACTTTGGATGGAGGGGTTTTACACTTTGTCAGCCGAATTTCCTGCATTCCATATTCATGACCTTTGCTTACTCCTTGACGTCATGAGAACATGTGAATCTTCAGTTTTGGCTTGAAAAAGCGAGCTGATGTTTTTGAATTTGGTCTGCACACTCGCCCTGCAAAAGGGACAATCCGATGTCCAGAGGGGCTTGGATGGGACCGTGTCTGCTAGTCCCGTGCCAGGGTCTCGTGGGCAAAACTTGCGTGGGTACGTTTTGTTGTAACCAGGGGTTGGGGGTTCAGTGTTTATGGTTCAGGGTTTTGGGTTTAGGGTTACGGTCTAGCAGCCACGAGATCTTTTCTTCACATGAAGGTCTCCATACTGGAGTTTCAAGTTTGTTGACTGTGCTGTATCATTGGTCGTGTTGCCATTAAGACTCGAGACCGGAGTCTTATTGAAATCAACTTGTGTAACGCATGAATACAGTCTCTGGTGTGTACAGGGGGCAGGTTCTCAGCACATGACTGGCGAAGGTTTGCAGTGTCTTGCCTCCTCGAAGCTGAGGAAATCATTGAGAGTTTCGGGGTGGCCGAGCTTCCAGGAATGTAAGGAACCTAGGATGCCACAAAACATGAGGCCCTACCTAAGCGCAGCATTATTAAATTTTGCCGGTACAAAACAGACCCCTTCCTTTTCTCTGTTTCACCGTTCACTATAATGTCGAATTTGAATACACTACAATCCAACAAAGGATATAGAGCTGCAATTTTCAATCGTGAGCTCCAGGAATCAGGAGGGCCATGAGCCACGCAAGGTCCCAATCATCAGAAGCTATCGCTTTGGGAGTTCTATGCTAGTTACATGAGCATAGCAGCAACAGTGGCAACCTGATTTTCCACGCTTTGGTTAGGATTTGAGCAACATCATCGCTTCAAAGACCTCAGAGCGACCTCTTCGATCCCAAAATATCTCCATGCATCCCGAAGACCTTTTGTAATAGAATACTCAAGATAGGGGATACTGTGCCAGCCTAAGAACTACACATAAGACGGGTTTAAGGGCATGATAGAAGTTACTTTAAGGCAATACGTAGGGCATTCCGGGAAGCTCTAAACCCTTACTTCTTCAATCTTCTAGACTCCAACCCTAAGCCATCGGATTCCCGGGATGTTGCCATAACCATGCTCAGAGGCGCAAGACAATGAATGCACTACAGTGGGGCGCATGGCGGAATTGCAGAAGCTCAAAGATTTATTTTTCCTCATGTTTCCATGTAAGCAAAATTTTTGCAGTAGCTCAGTCAAAGCATGTGGCACTCACAGGGCCAGGGTGTTCCATCAGCCTTACAAAGCTTGACATCGACTGGCCTGTCTTCCGTGGTTGAGCCATGGTAGTTGTTTGACTGATGGTGTGCCGGCACCGCACTCCGAGCAATGGCATTTTGTATTGGCAGCGGCCTGAGTACGTGGGTGCCGGAACCATGTGTCTACTGGATTTATGATACCGCTTGCATTATGAGGGCCGTTCTGCGGAAAATTTCGCGATGAACTGGGTGGTGACTCCGATAGTGAGGAAGACGAGGAGCGCGGAAGCAGCGGGTTGGTTTGCAAAACATGTCAGAGGTCCATGTGCCAGCACCCCTGTTTGACACCGGAGGATGGAAGCAGCATGCGGGCGAAGAACAAAAAAAAGGGGAAAAGGTCAGCTCTGCATGTGCTAAGGGTTCGACAGTTACCCTTGCGATTCAACAGTGGCCCGAAGAATCCAGCGAACCAATTTGTTCAGGAGAAGGCCCAAAAAAGAAAGAAACGTGGCCTCTGCGGGCATGATGTGGGCATCCATCTCGGAATTTTGGAGTGTGGAATTTGGCTGAAGCTTCTTGGACAGCAGCCTGCTGTGCAGAAGGCGCCGTACTTGAGCGAAGTGCGAGTCCTTGTGAAGGGTCGAGGTCAGGCTTCTTCCTCAGATTGCTTCCAGGTGTGTGGGTGCAAGCGTTCGGCAGGAGAATTCCAGCACTGAAAGACTCAGGTGGGCGAAGGGGAAATGAAGGCAGTCACACAGCTCAAGACACCTTACAACCAAAGCATTTCCGAGAACATGCTCGCCCGCAAGAAGCTCGGAATGACGGCAAGGCTGACCTTCCAGGGCATGTGGCTGACATGGAAGCTGTCTTGTTTTGAGCAAGGTATCAACCAGTTGCAGCAAGTTGAAATCATCGAGATTGCTAAATGCAACCTCGATCGTATTCCCCCCTCTCTTGAGGAGCCCTGTCCTGAGTCGCAAAGAGCATATCCTTGTGGCAGCGTGATGTGCACGGGTAGGATTTTCAATGCCTGAGGCTGGAGGGCCTCATGACGCTGTGCCTTTCCTACAACAATATCCGCAACTGGGACTTCTGACCACGTTGTCTTACCATCATCTAAGACTGGGATTTGGGTCATCTTTGCCTGCTGGACCGTGCCAGGCAAATTTTCACAAGAATTGGGGCGATGTGAAGCTCTGGAGAGAATTGTCCTGGATTCGTTCTCAGTCTTGTTGAATGTCAAGTTCGGCTGCGCGGACAGCTTGTCTGAGAGGGGCTGACGAGACTGTTCTGAGGATTGGAACCAGATCAGTGAAATTGAGCCTGGAATATTCTCAGAGGGCACCTTTCCGAAGCTGGAGGCTAATGGCCAGCATCCGATTGACTACGTGTGTTTTTAGAGCAAATGCTTCCTTTGAAGCCTCCCTGGAGGTTATCAATTTGTCTCACAACCGTATCGCATTTTTACCGTCGGATTTTCCAAAAACCGCGTCGCACTTGCCTCAGCTGCAGCACAAAGTAGCCGGATGCAAAGAGCTGGGGCGTCAAGGCAGAGCGTCAACGGCCTGCAGTATGTGGACCTGTCCTACAACCAGTTAACATCGGTGCCAGCAGCGCTTATGCAATGCAGGCCTCAGTTCAAAGCCTGGATAGAGAAGCTCATTTTCTGCCTTTGGCTTCGGGCCTCTTGAGATATCCCGATATCCAGTCTGTTGCGAAGGTCTCTGAAGGAGCTGAATCTCTCTCACAACAAGATGAGCAAACTACCAGAGGAATATGGGTGGCCAGCTCAGCACTGCCTGCTTGTAAGCAAGCACTTCCCGATGCTGCTTGGAAGTTCTACCTGAATCCTGAGGTTGCAGAAGCTGAAGAAGCTCTTCCTGTCTTTCAATGAGCTGTCCACTCTTTGGTAAATGGGTCTCAGGCTGTCCATGCAACTGTCCGACTTTGGGCTGAGGTCTGCGCTTCCAGAGAACATCGGTACCAGCAAGGAGCTTGAGAAGCTGCGCATCACTTCAAACCAAATCAAGAGGCTCGGGGAAGAACATTTGACTGATTCGCTGGGAGAGCGAATGGCGAAACACAGCCAGGCTCCCATACTCGATCCTCAAGCTCTGGAAGAAGGAGGGCGGAAAGTTGGAAGAGTTGCTTGGCAATTGTTCTTCTTCCGATGGCCTTTGAGCCTGAATCTGGCTGACTTCTGAGGCTCCTAGTGGACCGAAACCCACTGCAAGTACCCAGCATCACAGCGTTCGAGATGGAAGCAGCTGGGGTCCCAGTGCTCATGGTGTGCAGCCTGCTTATGAAGCCGAAAAGGAGGACTCCTGAAATGGGAGTGCAGCGGCACAGCTAGTGGCACTTTGCAAGAAAGAGCCGCATTCCTGGATGTGGCCTTGCCTGTTTGCACCCGAATTGGCCATTGTCTGCATATTTCTAGGCTGCTCCAAAAACCGCACTTTCATAACTTCATTGCGACCTGCAGGGAATGGTTGGCATGGACAGAGCCTTCCACTTGCTGCAGGCATGGGTTCTCTGCACATCTGCCAGCATTGGGCAATGTCCAGATGAAGTGCTCAGGAGAGCAAGATGGAGCAAGAACTTGAGGCCCAGAGGCAGGTTCAGAATCAGAGCCAATAAAAACGTCCCCCTGCACATGTGCCTGCCTGAGGAAGCAGCATGTGACCGAGCAGCTGGCGAATGTCCAGCAGGTTGTGGGCTCAAACTGCTCTAGGAACTGCCATCCGAAGTGGATGGGGCTGCTGCAGACTGCAATACCAAATCAGGATGTCGCCGTACCAGCTATCACAGACACAGCCGAACAGCCTGCTCTGGCCTGAGCAGCACCCCTTCATGCTCGCTAACCAATTATGGGAAGGCCGAAGTTGTGTGCGTTCCAAATGGAGACTCTTGAATCTGCGAGATGCTGAGGTTGCAGCAAGCTCTCCTGATCCTGTTGAATCTTGGATATGCTGTCACGAGCCTGCTGCGTTGCTGCAGTTTAGCTCCTAAGTGGAGTCAGTCTCTGGTGCCCAGGATGATCACCTTGATTCCTGGTATTTTGGACACTGCGCAGGTGACCAGGCAATCCTGCTGGGCTGTAGGGCTCGGAAGATATCAATTGTGGGGCTTTGCAACGACAGGCCAAGGTCCGCGAGATTCGGGATGCTGAGCAGAGTTTTCTCGTTAAGAAGAGGCCGGATGACCGTTGCAGGACGACAACAAGCCCAGAAGATGTGTTCATCTTGCTAGCCATCGCCACCAGGGTGCCGTTGCAGCGTCACACCTTATGTTTGCTCGAAGGCACACTTACTTGGCCATGCAGAGGAAGATTGCTGAAAGTGCTCAGGCCAGTAACTGCAGCTAAAAGCTTGGCAATTCCCGATGCGCTAGCAATGCAGGCGGCCAAAGGTGAGATACCCGAGTACATGAAGGCAAGGTGGTTCGCATCATACGACTGCTGCGAAGGATGTTCAACAAATGATGCGCAGTGAGCAGGTGTTTATGGATGAGAAAAGCTACCAAAACTATCGTGGCCGCGTTCATGAGCAGGATGACCGCGTTGCACGTAATTTTGCAGACATGCAATTCTTCCTCCAGTAGTGCAAGAAGTACACTCAGTTGGCCTCAGTGAGCGATAACATGAGATCGATGCAAGGACATTGACCTGAACTTCATCCTCTTTGTTTTCGCTGCGAAGCCAATGTACAAGTCTGCACAGACTTGGTTCGACAAGTTCGAAGTTGGCGAGAAGGGCTATATGTCCAAGCAGGAGTGGTATGAGCAGAAGCCTTGGCTACAAGAGACATGGGAGGATTCCCTGACTGCCTGTTGCTATCCTGAGGCTGTGTCTGAACTCTCCTCTGGATGTGCGACAGAAGATGATGGACTGCAGCAGTCTTGTGAGGGCCTCTTTCCTTGCAATTGATGTGAGTGTCAGTGAGGATGACCTTTGGGATGTCCTCTTCGACAGCTCTGTGAACACGAGCGGCCTGACAGAGTCCTGTTTCATCGCAGCGTGCCAGATACACGACCTGGAGGCAAGGTTTACCTTGGCAATGTCTCATAGCTTGCGGGAAAGCCTTCAACTCGGATTCAGGTGCGTGACCCTTACATCGAGCGCATGGCTGGAGCCCTTTGTTTGGATTACTTCGACGAACCGGCGTGATTTTTGCATGAATTTTGCAGATCAAAGCTTTGCATGGTTAGGCGAGGCTTCGTGTGTGATTCCTCTCCGCATCTTGAGCACGGCCAGGACAACACGATCTCCGAAATCGAAGCCAAGCTGGCGCCCAGCAAGATGGACCGTTTTCAGCAGAATTCCTCTTGAATCTTGAGTGTTGAGGTGAACTGAGCCACCTATCTGGGAAATCAAGCCTGGGTGTCAACAAAACCTTGCAGCTGTGAGTCCAGGAGTTTGGTGATGGCGACGGCGAGCACGCCGGGAGCAGGTATCATGTGAACTGCAACGGACTGCAGCATCCAGCCGAGACAGACTTAGCAGGTTAGAAGAGCAGGCTCGCAGCTTGAACGAACCGACTGGTCTGAAAAGTGCTGGCTCCTTAGCGCCTTCCTCTGCAAACTCTGAATCCTCACAATTTCCGTGCTGGTGTGATCTGAAGTGGTGCAGGCGAACCAGCCGTTAGTGAAGCTGCATACAGGCCCACAGCTCAGTATGGAGCGCATTGCTTGCTTGCACTGGCAGCGCAGCCTGAGGTAGTTCTCACACTGCCAAAGAAGTGCACTCCTTGAAAGAGCTTCTGAAAAAGGTGCTCAGAACCACGCATTTGTTGCTTGCCCTTTTACAGTGTGCTGCAGTGCTGCTTCGCTCCGCCTTGCTCGCAGGTCAGTCTCACAGACTATGATGTCCAGCAAGTCAGCCATTTGGATGGCATGGAGGACGGGTTCTTTGACGGGAAGGTACACACAAGCAGCGAAACCGAGAAAAATGTGAAGCATGCCAACCGTTGGGTTTGAGAGACCTAGCGCCCGAGCCTCTGAAATGTTTAGACTTGGACATTTTTCGAAGACCTTGGGACCTCGAGAGGAAGGGAGCGAAGCAGAGTCTGAGAAGTCTCGGGACTCTGCCGAGTTGTCCGAAGATGAAACCTCTGAGATGTCTGAGTTTGATGTCTGCTTCTCAGAGCGCGTCGCAGTATTCTACGTCTGGGGGAACTTCCTAAGAAATTGGGAGTCTGAGCTGTGCAACGAGGCCCAAGCCTTCCTGCAAGAGGAGGAACAAGCCAATCTTAAGACTTCCAGCAAGACACACCAGTGCGCCCGCAGCTTCGTGCCACTTCAAGGCTTATCTGCTTGTAGTTTCTTACCATTTTTTGGAAGAGGCGCCTGGCGATCGGCAGTGATGCATCCCTTCGGCAGCTGATGGAGGTCAGCGCCTGAAAGGGACTTTTGATACTCCTGCCCTCGAGAGTGATATGCAAGATGCCCACGCGCATGGGGCTGCTCAGAACACAACACACTCTAAAAGAAGTTCGTAATTGCGGCATTTGCGGTTCGGTTCAGGGCTGTCCATTCCTCGTCCTTGCTTTTCTAATAGCGTGAGGCTCCCTTGCAGGAGATCTTTCGAGGTGCCCATGTGCATGGAGTGCTTTTAGTGCATGGATGTTCATGCAGTGCTGGAAGCACATCGTGTGCATGCTCTAGGCAGACGCGATGCTATGCGAGCCACGGAGGCTGCGACCCCTGCTGATTGTACAAAGACCTTTTTCCAAGTTTTGATCCCTGGTTCATCGTCTCGGCCTACTCTACAGGTCTCGGGCCCCTACAAGCGACAGGTGGTCATCAAACCCCAACGCAACAACAGGCGACATGCATTAGAGCTGTAGGGGCGCACTTAGACATCGTTGGTTTGAAGGCAACAATCAGACGAGCTCTCTGTTCGGCGAGCGCATGCCTGAGACAGGAAGGCTGTCAATCACTGTGATCGGATTTTGGAGTTGGCTGCTGGATGTGCTGGCCTAGGCTTTGCGTGATGTCTATCGGAGTATGCCGTTCCTCGACTTCTCCGCATTCGTCAGTTTTCTCCTCCGAACGCTCCACAGTATCAAGGCCGCTCAGGTGCAGGAGTTTAGATTTGAACCTCTGAGAACCTGACCTTGAGGAAGACAAGCACGACAATGCAAAAGGTTTAAGCTGTTCATGGCACGATGACGATCCTTCGCTCACTCCTCAGAATGGGCGGTTTGTCCCACCGTGCTCCGCATGATAGCCGAGGGCAGGGCGCGGGATTCACCAGAAACGCATTGAAAAGCAACGCCGCTGGACTTGCCCATGAGGTTCCGGCATGCTGTCGGAGCTGCCGGCCTGAATAAGTACACGTGCCGCCTCTTGGATTGAAGTGGATGCTGCCAAAGGTCTTCACTGCCGAGCGTTGTCGTGCGAGGTCTTCTGGAGATCATGGGGTTTGTGCACTTGAACAGCATCTGTTGGATTTGGCCAACGGTGTGATCCCAGGGATCACATTTCCTTTTCTGACTGGGGTTGGACGAGCTACTCTGAGGTCCACTTGAAGTCTGCCAAGCATGGCAAGTGCTGGGGGCACTTGCAAGTGCCGCCCGACTGTCCTGGTTTGGTCAAGCATTTGGCTCAGATTTCTGACAGCCTTGCTCCATGCTGCTCACTGGCGGAATCTGCAGGAGCCGGCTGGAGCGCATGATCCAAGTGCTCACCCAGTGTTGGAATCTCAGGGGCTGCGATCTGGAGCTAACCAACTGCCAGTCCTCCTGTCTGAGGCCTGGTGGCCATCAATGACAAGGGCCCTGCATTCACAGGCCTGAGTTGCTTTACCTCTCCTTTGCCACTTTTGCAGACACGTTGGTGGTGGGGATCGCAGTGGCAAGTCTGTTGCGCAGGCTACTTCGATGTCGACTAAGCAGCTGCAAATACAGAGATCCAACCCTGGCAAGAGCGTCCAAAGAGATTGTATGCCAGAGATTTCTGCTTCTAGAATGATGAGTCGCAGAAGCGTTTCACAAGAGGAATCCAGAACCTGCTTCCAGCTACGAGGGATCATGGGATCACCAATGCTGGTCTAGCTATAGCTCCCGAATTAGCTGTCGCTGCTAGTGTTGCTGAACCGGACCGAGACATGCGCTATGGTTGGGAATTTCGGTTTCACTATCAACGGAGTCGCAAGGAAGAACATACATTGCTGTCACAGCTATCCAAACCTTGCGCGCAGGTCCTCCCAGAAGCTCCATAATCTCAGTCCGGAGCAATGTACAAAGTGACTCTTCTGCAATATGCAGGATGTCACCTGAGCTGAGTGACACTCGCGCGATGCAAGCAAACACTGCGAAGTCACCAGATTCAACTCCCGGACCGAGACCTTCAATCCCGAATCCTCATAGTAGACAAACCAGCGTCAACTAGCATGTTATGCTTTAATGATGCATGAATGCCTCTGGCTGGCGTGGGAATTGCCTTGCAGCGTTCAAAAGGATGGCTAGTAGAGAGACCTGCCAGCTGAATTCCCACCTTGTAGAAGGATGCAGGAGGAAGTGGACATTTTCTAGCATGGGATCCCATGCACCAAGATTTTTTAATGATGGACTAGCCTGTGGTTCACGCTTGCATGCGCTAAGTCAGCAATTTCCTCTTCTGGCCCACAGCGCGAGTGGCCAAGCCTGGCAGTAGCTCAAAATGCCAGGGTTGGTGACGAGCTGCTGGCAGATGGGTGGCGGTTTTGCCTTGGCTGGATACTGTTGCAACAAGCACATGCTTCTCGCTTGCAGAGGAGTTGCCGTCTTCAGTGTCGAAAACATCTAGACTAAGCTGCTTTTACTCAAGCTGTGCTGGTAAGCCTCCGAAGAAGTGTGCCTAGATAAGAACCTGGCATCTTTTAACATTGTGTTGCCCAGGCAAGGGGAAGCTCCTGTTGAATGCTTCAACGGTGTCTTCACCTTTGATGCCGGGATCTCTGAGCTTCAAGCTCAATGTGCTTCTTTGGAGTCAGATGCAAGTCAGGTCTGTTGCCTGGGAAAGGCTTCGCTTGGCAGAGGGCTTGTGTAATGAACCGTAGTCCCACTTGAGCCGAGCAGGCATCTCCGTTCTCGACTTGGCGCTTAAACTTCATCATCCTCGGCTTTCCTGGCTCTGGGACGACCAGCATGATAAGGCGCCTACAATCATGTGCGTTGGCACGTTTGCGTCGTGCCATGCGCATTTCCTGTTCAGGGTGTTAGAAGCCCATCCAAATGCCATAGCCTGAGCCAGATGAATATCGTTTTTAATGATACCCTCTAAATAGAGTGAGATTCAACATTATATCTGCTTTTTGCGCACAGTATTTTACTTGCTTCAAGCGCCTCAAGAATACTGCTCGGACAAGGTGTCAGTGGTACGGCGTGACAAGCAGCTGGGACTGGTCTGGCTTTAACCATCTACTTGCTGGTGCTTAAGGGAGAGTTGGGGAGTGGATCCTTACAATGATCCCTCTATAATCCCCATATTTACTCCCTATACTCATTCCCCTAATAATAATCCCTATAGCACGCCCGATCATCGACTCATCTTCGCCGACATCCAAGGTACGGGAGGCCATGGCGACGCACGGAGATGCAGGCGGCCTTCTGCTGCTGTAGCTTTCTGTTTTGGCTGGGAAAGGGAGGAAGGGAGGAACAGCTTTTCAAGCCACTCCCAGCCCGAGGCTTTGGACAAACTCATCAACCTCGGATCGCGGTCAGCCATACTGAAGTTTGGCCGCTCAGTTTCGCGAGGGCAAAGGACCCACGAGGGCGTGGACGGGAATGGTAAGGTAATGCAACCGTTTTTGTCGAATCTCATGAAGGACCTCCCGCAAAAGCTTGATGTCGGACCCTACAGCTGTCTTCGATGCACACAAGACATGGGCTCTATTGCAAATACGAGAAGCAAAGCTGCTGGTGATGGTGCGCGATCCGGTGTTGCTTGGATCCATCGGTGAGTTTTCAAAATCTTCGCACATTTGCCAGGTGGCAACGGGGGGATCCGTTAAAGATGTTCTCAACTAGGATCTGCGGGCAATCTTCTTTTGACAAGTTTGTTTTGGAGTGGCATGTGCGCGACAGTTTGAATGAAGCATTGAACAGGTCCATGCAGCAATTTAGGTAGCCAAGAAAGGCCTGCTGCCGCAACATCCAAAAGAAAATCAAAACAGATCTGAGCAAGCTTGACCGCCGTTCAGATCGGCACACAACAAAAAACTTGCACGGAGCCAATCCAACAAACACGGTCAGCCAGTCGAATCGAGCTGCCTATCCCATAGGGCGCTGTCATCAACACCGGGCTGACCGTGGACTGCGGCAAGTAGGTAGTGCGTGCACGGCAGGCTTGGCTGCAATTGGACGTGTTGGCCGTCCCGGCTTCATTTCTGCTACGCGAGCTCTGGGCGACAAGTCGTACACGGGTCAGTGTGTGCTATTGCAAGACAACACAATACTCCCCAACTTCGATGAAAACCAGAGCTTTGACATCGCGAATTCCCTTTAGCCACTGCTGCACTCGATGCCATGCTTGCAGACCTTTCTGCACCTATCTTTCACCGTTGCGCGTGCCACCAGTCCTCCCGTTGGTCCTTTGCAGGGGTGCTAAGCTGGACTGCCAACCTCTTGTTACCTGCTTATGTCGTAGTCCTCGGCGACCATCGTGTGACCTACCTGTAGCTCCAGTTCCCTTCATACGCTGCAGTGCTGAGTACCGTATGCGATAGTGTGGTGGTAGAGAAGAGCTTCAGCATTTGAAGCCTTCATGTTTCGAGGCTTCGAGGTTTCGAGGCCTTGCGAGATCCATTCCACATGAGACAGTGCTTGTGCTACTTGTACAGTATTGCAAACCTTCCCCGACCACAACGCGCACGCGTCATTCTTTCCGAGGACGTTCCGCACTCCACCTCGGAAGACGTCTCGGCAAGCACCCAGTAGGTTGCTATTGTTTTCATTTTTGTTGGCTCCTACTCCTCTGGTTTTCCGCCTTCCAGCTTTTTTGTTTTCAGTCTCGGTTCCATTTGTTTGCTTCTGTTTTCCGTGTTCTTCTGCCCTGGCCTTGACACTTGTTTTATGTATCTGCATCACCATCTTCTATGTGTCGGATGTGACATTCACACGCAGGCATGCAAACACGTACATGGCTCACGCAATTTTGTGATTTGCCATGCCTGTTGCCAAACTCTCAGATATCCGTTGGGTGAAATGGGCCTTAGTGTGGGAGCCTGCGCAGCCGCAGAGGAGGGGATGACTTAAATGATACAAATGCGACTTTGATTTTTCCAAGGCTTTTGATCGTGTAGAAAAATGACAGACTTGGTGTTGTGGATGGCACGAAGCGGTGCCACGACTCATGAGATGGCAGGCCCTGCTTCTGTCGACAAATAGTACAGACAAAGCTGGGTTCAGGTCGCATCCGAATCGGAGGCTGGGTAGCGAGGGCATTTCGGTGAAGCCGAGTGGGACAGTCGAGCACGGGCGCAAATTGCTTGGCCAGTGTTCAGGCATCAAGGCGATGGAGGAAGTCGCCAGCGACAAACTCAGTTCGCTGGTGTGTGCGCAGCGACAAGCCGCCCCAGGGCAAAGGTTGCTGACATTGGCGACGGCAATGGCGCGTTGGCGAGTTGCGCTGACACCACACTGAGTGACTCGAGGATGCTCGAGGGTGCTTGTCCGCCATCCATGACAAGCCAGACAAATCTCTGCGTTGCCAGGTGCAGCGCCACGTTGCTCGCCGGAAGTTGGTGGGCAACGCTGCATGGAGAAGATTTACACGCGAATTGGCCAGTGTGACAGCTCTGGAGCATTGCGGCAGCAGGATCATGCAGCTGTTCCTGCGTACTGGATCATACCAGGAACTGACGGATCAGCATGGCTCAGCTACACAGGCTTGCCGGACGGCCGGCAGTTCCCAGGTCGATCTGCGTCATTTTTATTGGTCTGCGAAGCCCGAGGCCCAGAACAACTACGTGAGCGCTAAAACCCATTATAATTTTCTGCGCGTTGAACGCTTGAGCCAAATTCTTGATGGCGGTTTTTGGAGTGCGCACATCCGCCTCAACCATTCCAAAGCTCGGAGGTGTTCAGCCCAATGCTCCCGCCGCTGCGCTTGACAGTGTGCCACGCAGGGTTGGAGACCCTGGCTTGGCGGAGTCCTTCCAGCTTCGGAGCGTTGCTTGCTCAATCCTCGGCACTCTTGATGGCGCGCGGGCAGCAAGGTGCTCGCTTGACGAGGCTCCTTGAGGTCCCCGGTTTGCGGGTGGCGTGGCGGCTGCTAAATTGTCTTATGCAGCATGCGCAGCACATCCTCATGGTGTTGCCGCTGCACTGGACTGCGGCTTCTGTCGCTGCACCTGACCGGCTGGTTCTTTCTCGCCTGGTGGCAGTGCTTCGCACGAAGTCGGTGGCTAAAGTTGGGTGGTTTCCTTCGTCTTTTGGTACTGTCACAGCCGCTCCCCAGCCGCCCTCCGATGCGGGCTGAACATGCGCAGCAGTGGCCACCCAGTCACGTAAACCGTAGGATGGCGGTACAACACCCCCGCTTGGGAAACGAGCAAGGGCTTGGTCGCATCAACCCCATGAAGGCGTCATCCTTAACGCGCGTTCCTCGTGCTTGTGCAGTGTTGTGTTGGCGGCTTTCCAAAACAAGACGGGGACATTCAAGGTGAAAAATACGGTTTTTCATTTCAATTTGAGCGGGTTTTTACCGCAGAGAAACAACAACTTTGACATGGGAGTTTTTATGCGGCGGAAATTACAATTTGAAAATGGAACACACAAAATTTTTGGGTGGACTAGGAAACCAAGTT